CACTGTGCTAGTGCCGAGATATACAACTTATAAAATCGATGATTTTCAAAAAAAGTAAAAAATGGAATTTTTTTGGTAAAATTCTTTTTCTACCTCTAGGCAATAAATATCTTGGCAACGTGTTGCGTGATTTACATCAAAGAAAGTGTCCACTAGTAGATTATATAAGTTTCAAAAATTTGAAAAGCATTAGGTAGGCAAAATGTGGTAAAGCATCGAATGGTCACTGAAGGACTTCCAGAAAATCAACCCTTAGCTTTTGGCCGTCTACAACCCGAAAATAAAGTTTTGTTTAAACTACCTAGAATTATAGAGTGAACAATTCTCTACAAAATAAGACGTCCACGAGCTCTCTAAGACGTTTTTTGGCCGAACTCCGTCGGTATTATGGAAAATTCACGAAATTTTTTCCAAATTGATGCCCCTACTCCCCTTCAACAAACTACTCTAAAACTCAAGTGTGCGTTTGATCGATCTGGCCGTACTTTTAGCATATTGGAGGCACCAATACTCTATTCCAATGGCTATTTCATCAATAGCTCTTAGGAAACTTCTATGGAGGGTAAAGGGTTAAGGTCTTTCTTTTCAGAATATCAAATCGAAAATCAAAATTTTTTCCCCGGCCATGTGCCTTTTTTCTACTTGGTTTTCTGGCGGACCCTCTCTTAAATTCTAAAAAATAGTCAACGATTACCACATTAAGAAGTTTAACAAATTTATATTAGTTTTTTCCAATAATTATGAAAACACTGGAATATTGTATAGCATTCAAACTCATATTCTTCGTACTGTTCAACTCTTTTTTATTGTTAAATAAAGATGAAAATTTTTGTGTGCAGTTGCTGAGGTCTGCAAAAAGGAGAGGGTGCCGTCAAAACTTGAACTTAAAATTTACACTCACGCATATTTTCTTCGAAAATATGCTTGAGTTCCACAAAACAAAACCTTGCAATATGTTTTAGATACTAAATGTTCAGGAAGAAAAGAAAGTCAAGAGAACTGGACAAATATTGGCAGAGGGGGAGAACGGAGTGTCCCGATATTCAGTTTTCAGTTGGATGTCTTTTATGAATGGTGCATTCAGAATGCTGTTCATAGGTATAAATACTTATCTTTTTGTCAGGATTAATATAAAACATAAAATTCATCAAAGATTAAAATAAAACAGTACAAATAATATGAAAATAAATTTGTCTGGATACAAAGTTCACTCATATATTTACGTGGTCAAGATATTGAAGAGAATATGAAAAATCAGTTTAACACTAAGAATGCGAAAAAGAGATGGGACAATACACAGAAGAGACGGTGGCCCAGATAAAGAATATTTTCTTGAGTAGGTAGTTAATGAGAAGAATTATTGAAAAGAAAACTGTTGAAAAGTAAAGATTAAATAGTCTTGTCTTCAGAAAAGTGTTAATGTGCGTTCACGAAGTTGTATTGATGGTCTATTTTCCACATACCAAACGTGTTCTGAATACAAGGACACCATTGCAACAGATGTAAAATGATGGGTTGTATGCCTTCGTGCCACAGCACGCTTTGCCACGTCCAGAAGTAAGTACACCGTTGCAGCAGGTGTAAAATGATGGATTGTATGCTTTCGTGCCACAGCACGCTTTACCACTTCCAAAAGTAAGTACACCGTTGCAGCAGGTGTAAAATGATGGATTGTA